AACAAAATTACTCCTGTATTTCACGTTATTAATGACTCCTATATATGTTATTGTATATCTCTATTTGATTTTGTTTATTTGCAGAAAACATACAAATGGTTCTCTTAACATAATCTTATCATTAGATCTATATTTGAGTATAAAGGCTTTGTGATTTTAAAGAACATAATATCTAAGTTACGAAGGGATAAAGATAAGGGCCTTTGGATCACTCCTGATGTGAAAGAAGAGCTGCACACTTATTTGGGAGGAGAAGAGTTTCAGAAGAAAAGCACTATTGCTAAACAAAATAGAGCTATTGATGGTGGAGCATCTATGTACACCGGTGGCTTTGTATCTGCTGTTGTACATCGTGATAGAATGACAATTATTTAAATTATCTTTTTTTTTTCAATAATTTCCTTCATTGGAACTTTACACTTGTATTATTATGCAAACTGAGTAACTTAAGTGAGTTCCCACAACATTTGATATAATAGGAAAGACAAAAAAGAATAAAGCTGGAGAATGGGTCAATGACAAAGCCAAAAACATTGCAATATATATCTTTCTAAATATTGCTTTTTTAAAATTTTAGCCTCACTTTTATTATAAATTATGACTAATAAGAGTATTAATTTTTTAGGATGAGTTTATTCGACGTCGAACTAAAGTCCATGCGCATGACAATGATGATCATGGTGAAGAATGTGCCTCAGGTGACCATTCTGTAGCTGTTGACAATGCCATTTTTTTAGAAGTTGTTGGAGGAAAAAACAAGAAAGGTCATGTGTATGGGTTAGGACAACTGGGTGAAGAGTTTGTGACATCATCCTCTCTTTGTACTCAGTCTGATCCTAGTTCTAGCGTTAACTATCAGCAGATCATTGCCGACCTTAATGCAGAATTAACAGCAAAGGACACACGCATTGATACTATGTAGTTTGAATTACAGAGGACCAATTCAAAACTACAAAAAACTGAGATCATTTTCTAACAAGTTGTTAAACACTTGGAAATTTCTACTAGTACCCAAATGGATGATTCTCATGTTGATGCTAATGATGTGGTTCTCCTCATGATGACATTGATCCACATTCATGATTTAAGACTTTCTTTTTCTATTTGTTATGTCAATGATTGTACCTTTTTTATAAAATGAGCTACACTTTTGTTATGCAGTGAAACATATATTGTTATAGATTGTAAAATGTATTTTACTTCTTTAGATGTATTTTTTTACTGTTTGTAAAATTTAACTATTAGCAGGTTTTGTTATATATTATGTCTTATATAAGCATGTTTTGTTATATAAATAGGTCTTGTTGAAAAAAAAATTAAAAAAAGTAAAATTATTCATTATAGTTAGCCACTGAATTTAGCCATCGATTTAGCAACCAAATATTTGATAAAATTTAGCCACCAAAATAGCAACCAAAAAAGGTAGACGCAAAATAGCAACCAAATTAGCAACTGAAATTTGTAGTTGCAATTAGCGACCTAATTAAGTGGTCACAGTTAGCAACTGAAATAGCTACCACCTTGATGGTGACAAATAGCGACTGGAATTAGAGATTGCAATTAGCAACCAAATTAGCAACCAAAATTTGGGATTGCAATTAGCGATCGAATTAGGTGGTCACAGTTAGCAACCAAAATAGCTACCACCACGATGGTGACAAATAGTAACCAAAATTTGGGCTTGCAATTAGTAACTGGAATTTAGGGTTGCAATTAGTAACCGAAATAAGTGGTCACAGTTAGCAACCGATATAGCTACCACCTTGATGGTAACAAATAGCAACCAAAATTTTTCGGTGGCTAAATTCAAATTTCTACAACCGAATGCATTTTCGGTCGCTAAATATCAATGGCTATTTCGGTAGCTAAATAAATTGGCAACTAATTTTTATATTTTAGCCACCGATTTTGTCGGTCACTAAATTCACTTTTTCTTGTTGTGAAAATAAAAAAGAAAAGAAAAAGTTTAATATAGTTTAACACTTCTTATTTATATTCATGAACTTCCAACATAATTATATTATTTTGTAATTTTTTATTGGATAAAATAGCAAACACTTACCTTTACAATTATGACGAATGTCTCTTAGACAAATTAAGACAGCAGCATTTATGCCTATGTCTATCAAAGGTTTGATTGCTACCTGAATACATCCTATGTGAAGGTATTGGGCCTGTCAGCTGTCCAGCCTATAAACCATGGTTACAGAAATTTCATAAAGAAATTTAAAGTCCAGATCCAGAAGAACATAGCTACAAACAATTAACAGTTATATTCCTAAATTGTAAACACTCATCTAACATAATTTTTTGAGCCTCTGGTATGTTTAAAGGACTAGATATTATTGTGGTAAGATAAAAAAAAATATGTTTATAATTTTTTATTTCTTTTTTAAGATCTTTTATATAAGATTTAGATGAATAGCCTAATTCAATTCAACATATTAAATGAGTTGCATGTTACTACATCATTTTGAACATCGTTTTGTTTTGCTTTTAGCAATGATGAAGACCTTTTTCATATATATTCATATATAAGGACATGAATAATTTTAACATTAAATAAACTTTACTTTTAGTAGGTGAGTTTAACTTTGACCTAAACTAAACTCTATATCATATTCCTACTAACTTAAACAAAAGGCATTTTGAGAAGAATATAGAGAAATTAAACAAAAGACATATTCATGAAGGCTAGAGCTAGAAGAGGTGGATTTGATGCATAATTAAAAAAAATAAAGCACGATTTTAAATAACCGACTGAGAACGTGAAACTTAATGAATTCAAATTGCAATATTTAATTTTAATGGTACCATATTTCTTTCCTCTTTATTAACATGTTTTTAATATTAAAAAGTTATTTCAACCATGAGTTTGTCTTTGAACTGAAGAAAGCTGGCTGAGGATAGTGGTTTGGTTAAGACATCTACAATTTGTACATATGAGGGGATGTGTTAAACATGAATTTGCTTTTGAAAAACTGTCTCGAACAAAGTGTAGGTCTAACTAAAGTGCTTTGATATACTATGAAGAATGTGACTTGAAGGCAAAAGAAATGTACTCTAATTGTCAAAGAATATGGAAGGAATATGAGGACATGAGATATGTAGCTATAGTAGAAGAGTTTGAAGCTAGGTGATTTTAGTAACAACGGAAGACACACTACGAAACTCAACTTCTATATTGGAACAAGATACAACTTGTTGTTACTTACTTGATCAGAAGACAAGATTATGTTCAAGGAATATGCATAACCTACTAGCTGATTCTCTATCATCAATATATGAACCCCAATCAGAGTCACGAAAAGGTAAAAGCCTAATTTCATGGTGAGACCATAGTAGACAGTTTCTCCAAGATTGCAAATTATATATTTGACAACTTTCCAATGTTGATCTTGAAGTGAGTGCATAAATTAAGAGACCTTACTGACTGCATACTAAATGTCAAGTTTGGTGATGGTTACATATTGCAAATCATTAACCACTGACCTATAGAGTGTAGGATCAGAAAGGGTGATACCACCATGAGCTCAGAGCTTTGCGCTAAAAGTCTTAGGTGTGTGCATGACTTTGGCATTATGCATGCCAGCCTCAGTAAGGGGTTTTTGATGTATATATTTGAGCGAATCTAAGTTAAAATAATTTTTTTATCAGAATTTTAACTCGATTGATTAAGTTAATGTTCAATTAAAGAATTTTTTTATCATAGGATGAAGAAAATTATGAGGATGGATTTCCAAAGCTAAAATGGTTTGTAATTTGTATTCTTGTTTTGACTTGTAACTCTTCTAAATGCGGGTGAAATTGGAGTTTATTTGAAATGATAAATAAAATTTGATTTATTTATTCTTCATACAATTTTTAACTTTTTTTATTTAAAATATTAACTAATAAGTTAATTTTTTACATTGTTCTATTTATTTTTAGGTTCATACAAACAAAAGAAATTGATTGCATAAAAAAAATCAATGACTTGATTTATGCAATGTACAACACAAAGTTAAGAATTAAATAAATAAAAAGAAATTTTATGCTTTCCTTTAATGGTATTCAATTTAATGATGAATGGATACTAACAAGGTATGAGTAAAAGAAGATATTGTTAAACTAAAACAACAATCCTTAGAAGAGGAAGAGAACAATGTTAAAAAAAATTAAAAATTTAAGTAATCTAACAAAGATATTGTTAAACTAGAACAACAATCTTTAGGAGATGAAGAAAGCAATGTTAAAAAAATTAAAAAATTAAGTAATCCAACTTTAGATGACATGAGATACTTAGTCCTTAATCCTAATATACAAGAAGAAAATTATAATAATGGTGATAGTGATAATGGAATTGATAATAATGATAATATTGAAAGATTAAAATTTTTTTTTTCTTTTAAATTTTGTGAACTTGCGTGTTAATAACTTTAAGATTTGAAAATTTAGTTCCACAAATGTGATTTTAACTTTTTATAAATTTGGCATTGTATTGATTTTACTATTTAAATATGTTAGTTATTTTCTTAAATATTTTTCTTACATATGAGTCGAGTTTACATATATTTATGACCTTGACTAATACCATCGATGCATAGAAGACTTCAATTAGTTGTAGGAAAGATACGTAAAATACAAATCTGCAAGCATTCACCATCTTCATTCTATACTGTAATTGTACCATTTCTTTCATTGTGAAACAACGATATTATCTTCTATATATTTACAGTTGATTCATAGATACCATCTCTCACAAAGTGGTATGAGATTTTCAAGCAAGAGAAATATGTCATCACAATGCAAGAAAAGCACTCTCCTAATTTTTTTACCTACTCTCCCTTTTCATTTCCAGCTATTGTATTTGTACCATACTCTCACATTCATTTTTTATCATTTTTTTTCTTTCTTTTTCTTTTTTCTTTTTCCTCTCTCCGTTAAACAATCATTTTCCTCCCATTATACTCCTGTTAACAATAAATTCATTTATGGAAGAGTGACTACAGTTTCCATATTAGAGCTTCTCAGGATCTAATGGGGCCGAAATTGATTGAGAGGCGCTCGAGCTGTGACCATAGCATGCTTCCAAGAGAAAATCTTGGTCTAACTTCTGTACTGTTCACAGTATCGTGCCTGGTAGTACTGGATGAGAAGCATTTAGGAACCCTGTAGGGCGAGCTGTAATCTACAACAATGGACCCACCAGCTTCCCTTCTCACAAGCTCTGCTATATTTGGGTTTACATCTTGACCTGAAGAATTTGCAACATAGAATGATCCTATTGCTGTCTCGCCCTTTACTCCTATCTGAACCCTTGTTATGGATAATCCATTCTCACGAATTACGCGTGTCACCTTCGATAGTAGCCCTGTTTTGTTTTGTGTGCAAATGTCTACCTTCAATCCCTGCTTCAATGCAAAAAGATCCAACCTTACTACTTTCATTGTTGTTTTGTTTTGTCAAGAAAATAGTGACTCCGAACCAATGTTACGCAGAATAAATAAATAAACGGAAACCTTCATGCTGGGATTCATGGGACATACATGCGAGATTCTTCGCTCTATGGCAGCGATTATGCATAGGGTGAGCTTCTGCCTCTCGCTTTCATTGTCCAAATTTAAACAAACCTGGGGCCTTACGAAGTACTCCTGCGTAATACATGCATTAACAGTAAATTAAATTATGTTTGGATAATGACTAAAATAGAGAGAAGGAAATAAAGGGGAAAAAAAGAATGAGAAATAATACAGAAATAAAGTGAAAAATATGTGTTCAAAAACATATTATATAGAGAAGTACAGATATAAAAAAGAAGAAAGAAATAAAAAATTAACTTTCATTTAATGAAAAAAAATTGCTATAATATTTTAATTATTTTTATTTTAAAATATGTTTATATTATTATAAAAATTATTTAACAATTAAAATAAATAAATAATCAAAAATAATTGTAAACAATAATAAAAGTTAAATTCTTTATTATAGTTTTAAATTTTATATTATAAAAAATATTTAATTAATATAAAAATAATTCTCATTGTGGTCCTTTTCCATACCGCCCTTCCTCTCCAATATTTTTATCACTTCACCGCAAGCATAAATCATAGTAATGGAAAGGGTTTTTTCGGACCTGGATCACCTGCAGTTTTGACCGAAACTACAAGCTGAAGTAGTTTTGCGTTCGCTTAAGCGAAAAAAATTCGCTTAAGCTAATTTTGATAAAAAGTAATACACTCTCTTTCACCCTCCCTCTCACTGAGTCTCTTTCATTCCTCCCCTTCCCCATTTCTTCTTCCTTCAGCCCACCCAATCTCCTCCCCCTCTCTCCTCATCTAACCCTTTTTCTTTTCCTCTATTAGTCCTCTCCCCGCTTTCTCTCTCTCCCTTGTGCTCTTGCCATCATTTTTTATCTCCCTCTTACCTTCCTTTTCTCTCTTCTTCTTCTAGTTTTTTTGCCACTCTTGCTAAATTGACTTAAACGAATTTTTTTTACTTAAGCAAATTTTTTTAGCTTAAGTCAATATTTTTTTTTACCAAAATTAGCTTAAGCAAAATTTTTTCGCTTAAGCAAATACAGAACTGTAGACGATCTAGATTCATTTTTTTTCTTTTTGTGACTCATTATTATTATTATTATTCTATGACAAATCATTTAAGTGAATGAAAATCATATTTTTATTATTTCTCAATCCCTTTTCTTTTCTTTTTGCTATACATTCAATCCAAACAAACAATTGACAATGTCTTCTGCTAGAAAATTACTACACCCAAACTCTGCTATCTAGTAAATAAATTCCTATTAAACAAAAAAGTAGAAGACCTAACAATTAACATTTTGTGTCGACGTTAATATATGCAGTTTTAAATAAAAAATAATAAATATTATTATTAATTCAAATATATAATAAATATTTTATGATAAATTATTATCATTATTAATTAATTAAATTTTCGGTAATCTATACACTGTACAGTAAAAGTCAGCATACATGAAGTAAAACTGAATTCTTAATTAAAAAAAAGCAGTAAAAATGATTACCGTTAAACTAAATTTTATCCTCAATTGAACTTAAAAGACTAAAGTTAAGATTTTTCTTGCGTAAACAATGTATAAATTGCTAAATACCTGATCGGCCATGGAGCCATTGGAGCTAATAGCAGCGTGAAAGACCTCATAGTGCATGTCAGTAAGTACGCACACGGTATCAAACAGCAGCTTAGGGCGGTCCCTGCTCCTCACGGTAACCACCCAGTACCCTTTCTCTTCGTATCTACCAACGGACACGTGAGTTCCATCACAACCCTTCTTGTGTTCACCGCTTCTATCTCCATGGCATGCACGACAACTTTCGTAATCCCCATCCGCGTACATCAACTGGTGGAGTCGCCGTTCTGTATGGTTGCGCCCCGCTCCGAAGCTCCTCAACCTCACTCTCCTCTCTTTTTCCCTCTTTCCGTCATCATGGGCCTCCACCACGTTCTTTAGCTCATTCTCAACATGGGCCAAGCGTTCTGGGTCGTTGATGGGCCCCGATTTGGATGCGTCCTCCAGATGGATAATGCAGGCCACCCTGTCATTGTGGGTCCAGGCCGTTGCGGACGAGACGTTGAAGTCCAGGTCCAGTAGAATCGCTGATATCTCTGACATCAGGCCCGGTCTGTTCGACGTTGTTACCTCTATGGCCAAGTTCGCAGCGGACACTGACATATTTTGTTGTGGTCCTTTGCAGCTTTGTAATTTTAGCTCCATGTCACTTGAAATTTCTTTGCTGCTTCTAGTCTCGCACAGTGCCTGCAAAATCTCTTATTTTTAGATTTTATGTGTAAGCTTCGGGGTAGGATGTTAGATCATAGATGAGAGGAGACAGAAAGACCTGCTCAATGTAATGTACGAGGCTCTCGTCAGTAAGCTTGTTGCCAAACTGGTCCGTCACGTGGAACACTGCAATATTCAGTAAACAGTGACCCATGAACCCATGAAGAACATGGTACTTATTCATGCATATAAATAATTATTTGACCAAAAAAAAATGCACACGATTAGTTAGATTACATTGCAGTTAATTATCTTCATAGTGATTATAGTAATATTTAATTAAATATCAATTTAGTCTTTAAAATTGATAGGAACACAACATTACGAAAGAAAAACTTTGTTCTTAAAATTAACACTACCGGTTAACTTAACCTTTGACATTAGAAAAAGAAACTCAACCCCTACTTTTTGGTAACGTTAACAACCAAAACAATAACAAAAACAGAAATTAAGCCTTAGTGGCTATCCCACTAAGTGATAACAACCAAATCAACCTCTTATAAAAAATTTAGGAACCAAATTAACTGATCATGTGAATTTTAAGAAATAAATTAATGTTTACTCAATATATTTACGCATATTTTTATCATACCATGGTTATATTATTTTTTTATTTTAAATAATAGAATTACAAAAACATATATTCTAATAGTTTCTCGGCCCAAATTAGAAAAAGAACAAAAAAAAGAAAAGGGAGTGCAGGATTGCTATATAAAAAACAAATTAAAGTCCACTTTGTTTATTGAAGGATCGGAGCATGTGAAGTACTAACCATCCATTAACCATCCACCATCAGAAGAAATATATGATTTGGAAATGACGAGGTCAAGATCTGTCAACACTTGGACCATCTCCAATAATATTCCATGCCTGTTCGCGCTATCAATCTGTTCGTGAACATCGAACGACTTATTAAAATTAGTATATTTGAAATGAAAAAATAAATAACGTCAAAGGCTTTTTATTCGGTAGGAGCAAGTTATATCATGCCACCAATGTATTTATTAACTTGTTAATGGCGGATGGAGCAAGAACAACTAGGTTTTGGTTTCACATGTCAAATCCATAATCCAATCAAATGTTCAGTGATCTTCCTAATCCTAATGCACAACGATTTATCATAGATATTCGAGAACACGTTTTTTTCAAACATGTTCTTAAAAACAAAAAAACAATTGTGATTAGTTTTTATTTTAAAAAGTTAAAATAATTAAAAAATCAATTTATTAAACTTTTTAAAAAATTATGTGAATTATAAAAGTATATCGAAGAATGTGTTACTGATGTCTCTAAGTCGGTTAATTCGCCTTTAATGAATAGGGCCCAACTCGTAGAATTGAAATGTGATTTAGCATACAACTTAGAATATAGCTAGACAATTGAATCTAACCTTCACCACAGTGCAGTCTCTGCAGGAATCATTGTCTATACGGACCCTGCTCATATAAAACAAGAGACGCAGTTGATATTATGAATTCATTAATCTATATCATGAACTAAAAGACAGTGAGTGTTACAATATTTTTAGTAAAACTGAGATGTTCATGCGATGAAAATAACAAATTAAATGATTTTATCTAGTACCTTGGTGGATGGATTTTTTCTATGAACGATTCAATTTCCCTGTCGATGCGAGGCTGGTAAATTATCTCCATCTCACCCTAAGAAGAAGGTTTCAATTCCAGTTTCCTTCAGCGATTTATCATGGAGCAGTGCATGTATCTACAGAAAATCACAGGCTGTAGTTTAGAAGCATTCAAACCCCAAAAACGCATGGTGAAGAAAACGCGTACATATAAAAACAGCTTAAGGAAACGTGGCGATAATAGAGCGCTGTTTTTCTTGTTTGCTAAGTGATGACACACAAATCCAAAAAACAAGAAAATAATAGATATCACTATTTACGTTTTGGAACTTTGTTGTCTCAATTAGAAATTCTCTTTGACTTCGACAAAAGGAATTATATTTTATTTTCAGAGGCAAGGAAGTTGTGAGGTAATTCGTATTGAAGAAAAAATGGGGCAAAAGCGCAAGCACGTGAAGCTTGCAGGGTTAAAACCTCAGCCATAAAAATTACCTTTGCTCCACCGGATTGAAGAGAAGGAAGAAATCCTTTACGAATGTAGAAATATTGAAAAAGGAAGGAAAATTGCATAACTCATATGTATCGCATTAATTTACGCCGAATTGTTAAGAAATAACACATGATACAATGATGGGAGGGTGCGATTCACCTGTTGATAAAGCAGCAGGGTGAATCCATGGGCACAGGAAATGTAAAATTCATGGTGATGTACTAGAGGTTTTCTTCGGAGAAAGCATTGGAAGGAGGGGAGATATGGGAGGGAACAGGGTGCCAAATCTTAACGTTCGATCTATGTGAGGTCGCGTCTTACGTGTGCTTTCAGAACACAGAGGTGTGCACATATATATAGTTAGTTGTATATATAGCCGAAACATATGGGGAAAATCGAGCATTTGTTAGTTACTTACGCGCACATAAAACATCACTGTGCCAATGATGGAAAACCCATGATGAACAGCTTTGGCACTATCATTAGCTTTGTGTTTTTTCTTTTCAAGATCATCATTATTGCTGTAATTTTCAGCAAAATAAATCATATAATATTAACTTATTTAATATTTTTGTAAATTTTATATTATGCCGAAAATGCACCATTTATTGTTGTTGGCTTAGTTTGAATGATACGAGATCGTGATCTAGCTCACCTCAGCAGAATATCGAGAGGATACGGTGGAAGGAGATTTAAAATTGTGGTTGTGCCACGTGGCAGTTGTTATGAACGTGGCAGTGTTGGTGAGGTGTAAATGCAGAGGAATTTGCGGTGGCTTGATCTCTCCCCTAGAGCGATAGACTCTGAGTTGGTGTAGAGGCGTGGTTGAGAATCTGTTACGCGATAATGTGATGGCGTGTTTGTAGCATCTAGGTTGCTCTAAACAAATGTGGCTTCTGAGAGTTGACTGAGGTGGCTCCTTTCTTTGACTCTTGTACCCAGTCAGTGACTCAAGAGCACACCATTAAACTCACCTTCAACTTGGGACTGGAGACCGCAATTCTAGCAAAAGTATGGCTCGCATAAATGTCCAGGGACATGTGGCAAATTTCATCCTACAAATTACTTTTGAAATTTATTTTTTAAAAATTATTATCACATTTCATTTTTAAAAGAAAAAAAAATTGGTACAGAGGAACAGAAAAATAAATGTGGTACATTTAAAAAAGATGCGAAAAAACATTGAACCAGATGGGGTTCACAACTAAACACATGCTACGGGTTGGACAAACCAATTTCATCAAATACCGGGTGATCAATTAATTTAAACACTTAATTTAAGAATCAAAACAAAAGTTAAAATATTTAATCATTAAATCTAAAATTAATAATATTTTAATTTGATTATTAAAACTTTAATTCAAATAAAACTTCAGTTCAAATCAAATAATCATATGAAAAATTTGTACATTTAATTAATACAAAATCAATTAAAATTTAAAAATTTTAGAACTCGATAAAAATATGTTAATTCTTTTATATTATTTAATTAATTTTAATTTTTTTTAAATTAATTCATATATTTCAATTGAATAATATTAGATTAATCACTTTTCAAGAATCATAACAAATACTTTTAATTCATAAAATTAAGAATAATTACAAATCTACTCTTAATCAAGAATATTGCATTTTCTTAACCCTTGAATTAGACAATAAAAATTACTTGCATTTGTTCATATGTATGTGTCTCCTCCATTCCTTCTTTAATAGGTTCAAAATTTTAAAATAAAAAATAATCAAATCTTAATCCTAATGATAAATAATCTTGATCAAAAAATTCAAAAAATAAGATTGCACTAAATTTAAAATTTAAAAGATACTATAAATTCAAAAAATAAGAAAAAGAATATCCTAATTGATAACTACCTAATCTCTTATAATAGATTTGTAACTTATTCCTTTATTTTGTCTTGTGTTTGTTTGGCTTTGCAGTTTGAAGATGAATTAAAGTTTTGGACGTAAATTTTTAAATATTTAAGATTTAGGGTTTAAGATTTTCAAATGTCATTGGAATAAATACAATCAGATATTTGTCACACACACATTAGTTATGTGCTTTGTTTTTGGTTTATTTTTTCATTAATGATGTGATTAGCATTGACATCCAGCGTGGGTGCATTAAAGTTTTTTTTTTTTATCATAACAAAACGTTGCATTATCATGTTCTAAAAAAAATAAAATTATTTATAAAACAAAATGAATTATAAAAGCTTTGAATATAAGCACATCAATGATTCACCGGTTTTCTCTTGAGTGTTATAAATCGAAAATAATATTCTTTGTCACTTGGGTGTTAAGATGCTATAAATTAATTAGGACGAGTTAAAATACTCTTTCCAAGGGCTTGACTAGTCCTCCTCTAGCCAGTTTTTGAAGTGAGTTAAGCTCAAGATATTCATGGCAAACCTCACATAATACTCTTTATTCAATACTTACTGTTGCCTTTAAGAATTTGAAACAAACTAACTAATTTGCCTTTGCAAATGCACAGAGTAGCTTCAACATGTAATCTTCTGCTACGGTCTTTTGGTTTTTTTTTTATGCCATGAAAAGAATCTTCCAGGTTCGTCTCTCTCATGTTGTTTCTGTTGTGTGGCCCAACAAAAGAAACTATCCATGATCATGAATGAATCAAGCTAGTTGAGGAAAATGTAGGAAGAAGTGGACCTTCAAATTGACTGGTGTTGACATGTTGGCTCCAATTAGGATCCTGTTCCAACATGGGCAGATATGATTTGTTGTTATAGGTGGTTGGAAGTGATTAGGTATTGCATCCAATTGTTTGTGATATATGTGATGTTGCAGTTTATCTTGACAAGACCATGGATATCAATACCTGTGAATTATTTTCTGCTATAACTAACACAATAATGCCAGGTCCTGCTCAACTTCTCACTCGACTACTGAAGAAAGTCCAAGCCTAACTGTATCTGAGGACTTAAGTCGAGAAAAACCGTTTATTGAATCAAGAATGGGAATTGTTTCGGTTGAAGAAAAAGATAGTAGGTGGATAAGCAAGGTTTGAGACAGTTAGATCGTGCATGTAGTACTGATAATGTTCATGAGGAATAGTTGAGATTATAAGAAATCTGGCCGCAAAATTCCTTGTTATTGTGACTGTGTGTGTCTCTCCTCTCACTTGTGCCTTCACATAACTGGTGGAGCTTGGGAATTCCATTGATGCCTACGTAAGTACTTGGGATAGTTTCATTCACCAAAAGGATGTGATTCAATATCAGTACAAAATAAATTTCTTTCACGGCGGTGCTTCTTTGACATGCAGCTACATCATAATTTCTTTGCTTTAACTTTACCAGGTTATTAAATTTTATTGTATAAAACAATTTACTATAGCCAGAGATATTAGCCTTCCTGCAGAAATGTATAAAACATTCAACCTTTCCTTTTGTTAGGTACCATTAGACAAGTAGTATCATTTGTTTGATAGTGTGCAATAAGTGGAACCCATCCTTGAATTGGAATGTTGAAACCCTGTTAAAAACACACCATTCCGGGTGTATTTTTTATTTCATTATTTCTATTGAGCATGTGTACGCTCATTGCATACTTAGGTGGTCATTTGAATTATAGTTGTCTTTGGATATAACAACTGTGCTCATAACATAAAACTCACTGAAAGGTAGACTACTGATTTCCTAGTATGTTGTAATGCAATAGGTAAAGTATTTAAAGATAATCAAGAAAACAACAGCACGAGTGGAATTTCTTGTTTGAGTTTTATTGAATCCAAGGAACCAGAATAGAGATAGAGGAATCTAGTAACCAAGCTCGGTTACAAAATTAGAACGGGCAAGTCAGGCAGGGAACACACTATTTTATTGGAATACAACAAAATTTTACATTAATGCCGAGCGTGATAATATCAATGCCTGTAAATGGCAGAACACAAATGAGTTATACAGTGAATTTTCTACAAATCTATCTAGCTGGATAGAAAAGAAATGAGAAGAGAACAAACAAAAACTTTCCCTCATTGCAAAGAGCAACTGCGTAACCTGTAGCTCAGCCAGCTTCAACAGCAATTGCTGGCAAAGCTAATGCAGAGAATCGATCAAAATGCCATGCAAACTCAAATGCTGTCTTTCAATACTCATCGTAAGACCAAAGAAAAAGAGAAAAATATGACAAAATTTTATATGACGGTGAACTACGTTGAGTCATTGTCCTTAGCAGCAGCTGCAGCTGACTCTTCCTGATGCTTCTTTTTCCAATATTCATCAAGTGGGGGTCCGAAAATTGCCTTCCCAGAAACAACACCAATGCTGCATAGGCCATACAAAATCTTGGTATACAACTAGACCAAGCTAAATGAAAAATTTGATGGGGCTAAAGGTGCTAACATATATCCCAACAAAAAATGTGTTTCTATAAATTTTAGTAACCCCAATTTAAACAAGGGAAAAACCAATCGCCCAAACATGTGATAGATAAAATCATCCGAGCCCATAGTTAACAAGATCAATCAATTATATATATAATATGAAAAGTAAATTGGGGCGCATAATATGTAGAGCGAAATTGGCTGGATAGAGTGAAAGAGAAGAAGGAAGCTTACA